TTCCAACTGGAAACCATACGCGCCCGGGAAGGGGTTAAGTGTCATCTTAACCTCCTATCGGTATTTCGATTCCTAATTTGACTCAAACATTTTGTTTAATTCTCGTTGCACGTTTCTGACGTTCAAAATCTTTTAAACCACCGTCGACCCAATTTGAACTCGTAAAAATAAAATAAATCGAATTTTACAAGAATCGATGTTCCGCTTTAGACAAACTCATGCTGACACGAAAATAGACCGTAGACTTCGATTTGACGCGTGACAATCGACTAATAATTTTCGTTCGCGAAAACAAGATGAGATCTCTGTTGGTTTGGGGACGCTGACACTTAAAAGCGTGTATCGCGTACGCGTGTGTGTTTACAAAACTATCGTCGTTTTCCAATAAATTTTACACGGTGGATTTACAACCTGTTCGAGATTGTTTAGAGAACGTTATTAGTCAATGAAACTCGACCGAAAAGCGCGCGCAAAGTCCAGGTCTGAAAGGATTAAGCGAGATTTATCGATTCGGTTGTAATACGACGTATAACGCTGCTTACTGCTCCATTTCTCAAACAATGTTGCTTGCGAAACCATTATGCTTTTTATTACCATAAATCAGAATTTTTGCCAGAAAGCTGTTCGAAAGTGTCGCAACCGCGTTATAATTACGCTGTAACCTGTCACCCTTGACCATGCGGCTAGCAGTACACCACCTTTAACGGCGCGAAGATAAAGTGCACGCATGCAAATTTCAATGCAAATTCAAGCGCTGGTCAGTCTTAACGCAAATAACCCAGGCGCATCGGTCGTCAAATTTCCGAGTTCACGCGTTGCGCAACCCGCTTACGAAAAATGCAGCGATCGACGATTCTTGACTCGGAAAAATGTACTTACCTTGCGCGTAACAATTACCTTCTTCTCTTTATTATTAAATACTTTTGATACCATATATCATTTCCTATTTTTAGACACCCTATATGTTCGATAATAATATAAATAAACAATACACAACGCTGATCCATTGGCCTCTAAAATTTTTAAGTTTGTCAAACTATCGAGGATATGTGGAATAACATTTTATTCAAGACAAATAAACAATTACAGGGATGGGAATAAATAAAATTGCACGTCATAGAAAAATCAATAAATTTCTATATTTTTAACTTCCAGTAATGACAAAAAGAAGCAACATATAATCGTACTTATTCTAATTAATTTATAAAGCATGACCAATATAAAATACAAAATTCAAAGATTGTGGTATAGAGTATGTAGGCTAATCGTTTCAAATTTAATTTTGCTGTAATATCTATAGAGTTTTCGATCGTTTAACGTGGCTCATTGTGGAGCGTATGCGCGACGTACAAAAATCCGGACCGTATCTCCGATCTTAATTATAACATTGTGGTCATAGCGGTGGCGGGCGAAGAACCGCGCAAGTGGCTTTTCGAGTATGAAAGGATCGTTGTGTCATACGTATAACGGGGAGCCACGAGGCTTAAAGGCAAGGCAAGGGCTTGGCTTTGGCTAAGAAGTCGGTTGGCCGTCGAACGACGTTGCTAGTCGTTTCTCAACCCTTTCGTGGTTACGTCACGTTAAAAAAGCTATTTGGGGTCAACACCCCGCTGCAGCGACACGTGTAGTACTCCTCGACTCTGTCTCTCCGTCCTCCCTCGACCCTCTCCGCCGTCCTCTTTTCCTTGGTATATGAGGCAGCCCTCTCCTCTCTGCCTACTCCTTGCGACTTGGAACGCCATTGCTGCCACCTCCTCCGATAGTATCCCTTCTACTCGGCTTAGTTTCCACTGGATTTCTAAGTTCCCTAGATACTAGCCAGGCCCTGTTCTAGCCGAGAACGAGGGAACAACGTATTACAGAGGCTTTCCACGGATCGAACGTCACGACTATCAACGGACCGACGACTGCCGAAGAGGCAGGAGATTACGAACGACACCCTCTTCACGCCTGCACTCGCATATTAGAATCACATCGACGAGCAGAGAAATACCGTTGAACCGTTACTTTTAAATCTCGTCGATTTGCATAGAGTACTATTTTCGTGGTCTTTTTGAAAAACCGTGATTTTTGATAAGATAAGGTACGATCGAGTGAGAATAAATCGTGGAGAAAAAAAAAGTATGCGCGATAGATTGTCGTTCGTGTAATACCACCTTGTCGTAAGAGATAACCGAACGCGATCGCGTATCTGGCCAGATCGCCGACGAAGGAAGGAGAAGGAATAAGTAGGGAGGTCATGAGATTAGAATGAACGGCGCAGCCCCAAGCGATACAGCCCTGGCCGTGGGCGTGCAGGCGGTAGGAAAGCCAACCGAGTTTCTCCAAACGCGCAAGTCGACGTGGAACTAGCATGCGGCTAGTCTTGCTAGAGCGAAACCAAGGACACTAGAGGAACAACAGAAGCGGGCAGCGACGGTGGCGTCGACGGTGGTGGTGACGGCGGCGGCGGCGGTAGCGGTGGCGGCAGCTAACAGAGGAATCGAATCATCGTGGCGTCGGCGGCGGGTATCGAGCAGAGTCAAATCATCGTGGCAGCGTCGGCGACGGCAGCGGTGGCGGTGACGGCGGCGATAGGTCCCCTTCACCCCGACCCACGTTTGTCTACGTGTACGTCTCTACCTCTTTACCCCGTCCACGGTACCGTCCCCGCCGTGCCTGCCGCCCCCACCCCAGCTCCGCCACCGACAGACAATCCCTCCGTTCTCCCCTGCCCGACTCTGAGACTCTCCGGAGCTTCCCCTTCCAGCGACTTTTTTTGTCCGTATACGCCTCGTCCATCGCGACAAGGCAGCTTCCAAGCCTTTTTATCAGTCGACCGAAAAGATCCGTGGGGATCCTTCCGCGACAGCACCCCGCGCATCCCATCAAACCTACCCTCGTGTTGTAAACGCGTTGCCTCGTGTATACGAATTCGCTCGTTCCGAAGTTACGGCCGAATTTTCTTCCATTCATGTTTCTCGTTGCTTGTACAGATCTTATATATATACATACATTGTTACCGTAAGGGAAGTACAAATAAAAGCGCGGGAAACGATTGTGACAACGATATCTCGTTAATTGAATCGATTATATCGACGGTGATAATGATCGACGTGTAACAAGAGCGCCGATAATGAAATCGTTTCGACATTTATTGCAATGGTATAGAACACGCGTGTCGGGGTAAACGTGTCAAGGTGCCGTCAGCGTAGCGCAACGATTCCGGTGACGACACGCGAACCAACACACTTTTGACTCGACGAGGAAATCGGACGAAGGTGCGTTTATTTCCATGGCAACGTGACGACGCACGGATTCTTGCCCCACGGATACGCAACAAGGCCCGAGGAACGAAGCGGAAGTCGAAGCGGCGACAAACTACTACCAGGATACGCAAATGTGGTTGGTACTTGTACATTTGCAGCTCAGAAGTTGAGAAACGGCCTCGTGGCGGAGAACGGTCTGTCTCTCTCTGTCTTGCGCCCGCCGCTTGGCGAGTCTGTACAGGAAAAAGTGCGCAGACGCAAATCGCGGTTGCGTGTATAACCCGCAACGCACCTCCTCCACGGGCGTCTCAACACGTCGTGAATTTCTTCTCGGTTCTATTGCTCTCACCCCCACATATTTTTCTATAGCGACCATCCCCGACCGAATCGTACCGTTCCTCGCGCCCGCTCTTTGTAAAAAGACCCGTATCGAATCTTTCCACCCTTTTTTACGTTCGGTATCTTCGGTTTACGAAACTTTCGTAAACATTTAAACGGGAACTGATACAACGATAACGATAGAAAAATCCGCAAAAAACACCGAAGGATGAACGCAATATCGCGTTGGTAGTGTAATCCGATCGACGTTGGCTTAAAAAAATTTTAACGGTGACTCGTTGCCCCTTTAACCCGCATTTTCCTTTATCAAAATAATACGCGAGGCGATAAGCGACTTGTCGCGAGTTCTGGAATCGCGCATGACGTCGTCGGTGGGTAACAGCTTTGCGAGTAGCTGCACGAGCTCGTGGCGACTTTGCCAGAACGAGTGCGCAGTAACACGACGTAAGAAGTAGCTACGAGGTAGAGAGGGAGAGGGTGTGTTCGAGAAAGAAGCCCAAAGAACGAAGGCGTACAGGCAGGGGGAGGTGGCAGGTTTAAGGAAAGGTCTCTTTGGCGAGAAGGAGATCGTGGTCGCAAGCGTGAGAACAAAGGGGCGAAAATAAGTGCCCTTTTTGAAGGGTGATCGAGGGTGAGGCGTAAGAAAGAGGAAGACGAATCGAGAGAATGCGTTCGTGTAGGTTTCGAAGGAGATAAAAAGAGAAGATGTCGGCTAGGCGGAAAGAGAAAGAAGTCAGGCGATTCGTTCCTTGCGGGCTGTGGTCAGAGTGGGAGAATCAGCGCGAGAAAGAAAGACGGAATGCGGGAGAGGGAAAAAGATAGAGGCGCGTTCGAAGTGTGAGTATAGAGAGGGGAAACGAGAAGGACGAAACGCGCAGGATGGCGCGAGGGAGTACAGGGTGTTGCGGAGCGAGGGAAGGGAGGAGTGCGTGACGAGGAGGGTGAGAAGGTGGGGGATATAAGGAGAGGGTGAAGGGTGTAGTGGGGGCTCGCGGGTAGGTGGCGGTGGTAGGATTGCGGGAGGTTGTGCGCGCTCGGCTTCGGTGGTTCGGTTGAACGAGGGCGCGCAAACGGGCGGGTGTCGCGAGCGTTGCAAAGCGGTGAAGGGTACCACGAACGGAAAGCACGGCGTGGCGCTAGGCGGGCGTAGGCGAGGTTCCGTGACGGCCGTTCGGTGGCGCAGCAGGAATTCCCAGCACGGCAGGCACCGGGTTGGTCAGCTACGTGGTGTTCGTGCGCCTCTCTCTCTATCGGTGTGTATATGCGCGATTTGCCCCGAGTCCGCGCCTCGACTTGATGACATGGCGTCCTAGCGCTGCACGGGCAAAGTCGCACGTCCTCGGTGGAGAGGCTCTCACCCCGTCGTCGAAACAACCGCATCCCAGGATGCCAAGGTAAGTCGACGTGGTGTGCATAGTGTAAATTTTCGTACGTACCGTGAACGGCACTCGTTCGAGCTGTTACGGATTTCGGGTGTCATCGGGAAAAACCGGGCGGTGTCGATAAGCTAAGAAATGTACCGTCGTGCGCCTCGAGCTCGTTTCGTCAAACCAGGTAGGGTCGTTGCCATCGAGCCTACCCTACGAATCGATATTACCAGTGCGGAGGAGAGGACGCTTCTTTCTCCCTCACACTTTCTTGCCGCTTTCTCCCTCCTTATTTCTACATCCATCTTTTACCTGTCGCTCTCTCGCTCTATTCGCCCCTTGTTATCTTAGTTTCGCTATTCGTTCGTGCCGTGTGCCCGACGTCGTCGTTCGTAGTTGCTGTGTGGTGTATATTCAAATCGTGAGTGTTTGCATGCTACGCGCAAATCATTTTATGCGCCCGTGTCTGTGTACGTGTGCGCGCGTGCACGAACGCGACTGTGCGATATCGTATGTGTAGGAAGGGTTAATATCGCGGGAGCGAGAGAGAGAGGAAACGTTTGCGGGGTAAAAGGAGAGAGGTTAGTTTCACCGTTTCTTGGAAAAAGATCGAGAAAAAGTGTTGCGCGTGCAAGGAGGATACTACGTGGCTTATCGGCGCATCGACGACAGCGTGCCTCTCGACGTGGATTTTCGCTCGACGAGAGGGTTGCGTAAATCTTCTCTCCCTCCTCTTTCCCTCGTCTGTTGGAATCACTCTGTCTTCCTCGTGTACTTCGTCCCTCTCCTCCCTTCCTCTTTCTCTCTCTCGAACGTGTGTCGCGGTCGGGTATGGCGCTGCCCATAGGCGCCGATACGCCCCGGGGTGTCGAGGCTGACTCGACTCGAGTCGAGTCGTTCGTTCGTCCATCCGCCGACCATCCTCCCCCTTGTTGTATTCATTGAGCCGCTTGTTCCCCAGTACGCCTCTACAGTTCCTTCCCTCGCGAGGGAGCATCATTGTTACTGCCGATCGTGCTCACTTCCTCCTCGTGATTTTTACCCGTCTGTCTGTTGCATTTTCGTATTCGGCCAATGTAGCCTTCGATTCGTTTGCAATTGTTACCACGTACCATAACAGGTGAGTTGTGTATACATACCTTACTCGTCTTTGCAAATGCGTGAGATCGGATCAGTGCCACAGCCTCGAGCCCGAGCACGTGTCAGAACGTGCCTTTCGGTCGGTAGTGTCACCGCGCGCGCGTTAATTAATCTCTTCGTTGATACAATGTAGTGTAAAATTATGTAACCTGTGCCTAGTGGGATAACCGTACTCAATGCAAAAAAAAATGGTGTTTGTTGGCGTAAAATGTTTGCGATTGGAAAAAAGAAAGTATCGTGAATGAGCAAGCACGTGAAGAATGGAGCAAATGGTGATATACGGACAGATCGGTGTAGTACAGGTGTGTCGTGTGAATCGTGATATACGGTATTTATTATTTTTGTATTTCATTCATCGCTTTTAATCGTTTTATACGAATTTACTCCAAATGATTTAATACTCGAAGTGATTTTTCGTTCACCGTGGAAAGTTTTATTATTAAATTTATAGAAGGGATTTATATTTCAAAGTGACAGATTAATATTTTTGCATGCTTTCATATACGTGGTAATTTTCATAGTAGTTTATTGCACTCCTGTGCGTAAATTGTCGTGATTAACTTCTCTCACGGAATGTTTAAACGTGCCCGTGTATATTTTACCAAATTTTTCGAATACTTGCATTTTGTGTGAAACGTTGAGGTGCAGATTTATCGTTGCTCGACGAATCTAGTTATCTTAAACTCAGAGTCGTTGTTATCTTTGAGATTCAGACACGCTTAAATAGAGATTAGGCTGAACTTAGAGTGTTGTACTTCGTCGAATTGTTAATCATTTTTCTTTACAGTCTCGATCATAAATAGAAACATTTAGACGTATTACCTGATGTAAAATATTTCGCTTTCTTGCATGGTGAAAAATGTGTTCGTCTATCGACCTCCCGCCAAGTGAAATAACCTAACAACCACGTGGTACGAACACGTGGTGCCTTTGCTGGTTCATACCAATCCATTTCAAGTAGTATCGTGAACTTTTGTGCGTTCGTACATTTACTGTATTATTTGCAAAAATTTCCTCGCGTAAATTAATTAGAAACAAAATTTGAAAATCTACATTCCATTTGCATCGTATCGTAAAGAAAAATATCCACTTCTATATATCGATAATAGCCACGTGTTCTCAGTAACGTATTTACATTTCTCTATTATGATCGAATATTACGCGTATTCGAACATATTCCCCTGCTTGAAATATTTGTTTGTCGCGCGATAATACTTTTGCTCGAAGAAATGATAAATCTTGTAAATATTCAAGGAGAGTATTTACGATATTATTCGCGAAACTGTGTCCAATCACGGATGCGTTAGTAAAAAAAAAAAGAAACGATATGACCTGTGTGTAAGCGACAAGTGTTGGCTTGTGCACTGAAGCACAACGTATCCGTACCCACGTGTATTTCGATGAGAACTTACATGGCACTTCCTGCGGGTTCCTGATTAAAGTAGCGTGTCGATTTTATCATGGTACCCGCGAGGGGTTGAAGCGGCGATTATAGTGGCGATGATGGTGGTCGTATACATAATATGGGGAGGGTTCGACTAAATAGCTTTTATGCATAGGGTCCACCTCTTGTGATGGTAATATTAGGCTAATTTATTGGCGCGACAAGTATCATTCGTCGATTCGTAGTAGTTGGTGCGTGAATGTGATTTCATATTTTTCAAATCTCCCGCGCTCGCTGATGTTGGTCGATAATACAGGTTCCTGTCGCCGCGATTCGCTCGCTAGTTCGCTAATAGCGTTCTGGTAGAAAGATTAAAGCGAACAGTTTCTTCCGCAGCAAAAACGATGTCCCCCTAGATAAATAGTATCCATGGGAACGTACAATGAGTCTCGAAGTTTCAACGATAACCTATTTCGTCGTATCTACGATTTATCGAATTGTACGCGTACAGAGAAATTCACGAATTATTTTCCAAGCATAGTTTGTACGTTGACGATCGCCGATACGCGTTAAAGAAGCAGATTAACGTTGTTATGAAATTGAAGGGTAACTTGGTAGAGATAGCACGAGCTACCGATTTCTATTTCACGGGAAAAAAGCGTGTACACAATCTAAAGTGCGTGCGCCTGCGCGTTCGTGTAACGGTGATGACTGTGCAACGTGCTGCCTCTCCCTGTACTCTTCATCCGTTGTTCCTTTTATTACGTGTGTGGATTACGACTGCGTGGTCGTCAGGATATATCCATTACAAGAATATCGGGCTCCAACAGCAGTTTGCACTTTTGCCAACTCGTTCAAGTTTTGATTTTCAGCCGGATATAGCGTGACGCGTTTTTCACGGATATGTAGTTCTCGTTGGAAATCCTAGAATCGCTTCTCGTACAGCGGCGTAAACGCGAAACGAATTAATCTGATCAATTTGTTTGGGAAACAGGGCGTGCACGGGCGTAGAAAACAAAAGCAAAATAGTCGGTGAAAAAAAAAAATTTTATTCTTGTGACGAACGAGTCTCGCGATGACATCATTTCGGAACGGTGCATGATTTCACTTGGCAATGACGAATAAACCTCACCCTCCGCGTGTTCTAATTATCTGTCGTTACATGTCATGGTATTTGGAGGGGTGTTGTCGATTGCTCAACAATGCCTCGTAACAATAGACGCCGAGGGTAACGTGTCCAAGGATTTATTCCTGCCGGTCGTTTCTTTGTCCCGAAACTCTTTTATCTTCGAAATGATTCATCGGGACCCATCGACAACAAGACCGGCTCGGTCGTACGTAGTTGTCGCGAAACAAGGATCGGGTATACGCGCACCTGTTTTCATAACACCATGCAACTATATCGCGAAATGGGTGTTCAGCTTCGCGCCCTAGTTACACCTGCGTCTAGTATCGTGGTAGGCACGTAATACGTTTGCACGACACTGTACGTCAACCGAGGTTGCCACGTTTCTCGTGACTGCCGCTTGAAAAACTGAGGTCGTATTGAATAACGAGTCGCAGGCAAATTGTTAGTAAATCCTTTAAAGTCACCGCTGCCGATCGGTTCAGGAAATATTCTTTCGCGCGGCGATCGAGATTACCGCGGCATATACGATCTTTTTATTAAATCTATTTTTAAACGGTTCTATTAAAATGGACGGACGCAACGCAATTACTGGTGTCGATTTGAAATTAATTGTCGCGATACATTGTGATTTTTGGCTCTCTATAGAAATATTGTATTCTATAAACATATTTATTTAATTTCTAAGGGCATAGATATTATTGGCGAAAATTTTATTAAGTTAAACTTGCAAAGGCTGCACCGAGTTTTAAAATAATTTTAATATTGACTATTCATACCATATTTTGGGTTTTAATTTAACCTTTGTATAGTACAATTTCTAATAAGAATTGAAAATATATTCAGAGCGTAGAGTAAATTCGTGATAGCTTGAAATGAATCATACGCTGAAAAGGCTGGAATGAAAGTGCTGTTCGAAGTGATGGTTAACGTTGAAAATTCAGAAAGCAGATTCTGTTATCTGTGGGTATTTTTCGGAGGGAACTTTTCATAAGAAAGGGGAGAAAAATTTACTTAAAAACACAGGGGTGATCATTGCAGCATTGCGCATCGAGGGGCGATCATATTTAACGGAGGGTCGGCAACGGTGCATAGATTTAATCGCTCTATGGGAACGGAACGTTGCGTAGGAAATCGCTGAAAAGCCACGCAGTGTGGACCTGAATCTACTACTCTCGTACACGAAAATTATTCCGTTCGATCGAGGTAACATTGGACAAAAAATTACGGTCTCTTTGTAATTTGAAGAAGGAATAACTAGAACGAAGTGAAAATTAGTTATCTTTATTGGTGTTAAACGTTTCGGTATTTGCACATAATTTTGATCGCCAAGAATAATTAGAATTAATTAGACTTGGCCATGAACGTTAGTTTTTATACGAATTTTAGTGCACGCACGTTACACGGTACATAGAACTCTTATAACAATATTTTTCTTGCGTTGGACTTTTTACTCGTATAATTTTACAAACGTTAAAAATCGTAGCGAAAATTCGAACGCGTGGTATTTAACGTCGTGGAAATCATGCGACCCGACTGCTTCCAGATTCGATGCAGTCGCTTTGTCCCGTGCGCTGGTGTTCCCCTTTGTCGGTCGTAAATTTTTATTTTTCCTGTCGTAAACAATTTTCGTTGTTTCGCGAAGATTTTTAACAACTGCACGACGAGGACGGGCCTTCGATATAAACGCGCAGACGATCCGGTTAGGAAAGTTTCGAGAATCGAGAATGCTCGACTGTGGAAAAAAAATGTAGGGTGGGCGCCAATGCGCGCAGCGAGGTCGGCCGTCGTCGTTGTCGGCGGAAGGGGTGGTGGTCGTGAGGGCGAGGAGCGTCAGAGAGGGGTAGGTACGAGGTTGAGGAGGCGTAGGAGGGGTAGGGTGCAGGCTAACAGAAAGAAAGATGGCCGACCTGTCTGTGAGTGCATGCGTGAGTGCGTGAGAGAGCCTTAGACTCGTCTGTGTACACGGGCCGGTGTCTGTAGTGGTCGCATGTTTGAGAGGGGCAAAAGAGCAAGCTCTTCAGAGCTGAGATTCAACGTCTCGGAATCCTTAGACGGAACACGCGATATTCTTCTCGGGGTTGTCGATGTTTTACTACTTTTCTGCCACCGGTAGACAGCCGTTGTACAATATTATTCGGTTACATGAATTTTATTCTCCAGGTTGATCGTAAATTCCGAACGATGGACGGTTCACGAAAATTATTCCCAAGCGGGGTTCACGGTTTTTCGAAACCTCCCGGATGATTATGCTAACGAGATACTCGTACGCTATCAAACGACCATTTCGACGCGTAACGCTCGGGTCGAGCGTATCGTTGCTGCAATCGTTAATTATTTCGTTACGAATCCCCCGGTATCATTTCGAACACACAAAACCAGACTTTCCATTCGTGCGCGCGCGCGCGCGCGCGTGCTCGGAACAAGCCCAAAAACGCGGCGTCCCTCTCGCTGTGTGCGTTTACTTCGT